TTTAATACGGTTTTAATGTTCCACAGGTCTTTCAGTCAAGGCTACTATCGCACAGCTCCTCTTGCTGGGACGTTGGGTAGTTTCCTAGTGGGCCGATTAAAACACAACCCAGGAATCTTTTTTCGGTTTTTAGCCTCCAACAGTTGGGTTCCGTCTTGTACATTAGATGGCATCTACCAAGGTGGTTGGTTTAAATTTCTCTATAATGAAAAACCTGCCGCCTTATATAGAATTTTAAGTGGGTTAGGCTTCATACATCAGATCATATACATGTCTCATTTAGAACTTATCAACTTTTTTTGCCCAACGTCTAAGATGGGCTGGCCATGTTCATAGGCTCCCTAATAACCGCCTTACCAATTAATCTGGGAAGAAGTCCCGACAGGGAGAAGGCCCTTAGGACGTCCACGAATGCAATGGAGAGATAATATATGGTCAGATTTGAGAACAATGGGGCTACCCACTGACTTAAACATCATGAACGACCGTTCGAGATGGAAGCAGGTTGTGCAGTCAGCCAAGACCCACCCCGGGTTGTAGTGCTACCAGAAGAAGAAGAACTTTTTTTGCGTGGACTGATCGATTCTAGACCGGGCAGGCATACTCTTCTGTTAAAAAACACATTGCCTGTGCTGTTATTCTTATTGTATCAGGAATTGCTCCCGTACTATTTCCAGCTAGATTTTTTAGTTTTCTAGGACGTTTCTGGTGGTAACTTTTTGTCTTGTGTTATAACAATGGTATTTATATGTTAAACATCTGGCAAAGTAATTCTGGGGTATTTAGTTTTGTCTGTGCTATATAGACATATATTAAGATGTATTTTTTAGGCCAACTTCTAGATTTTCCTCAATATAATAATAGTATAATAATAATATATAATAATAGTTCTCAAGTTCTTTGATTGTACCGCAATAGCCAAGTCATCGGATATACACGCTATAAATAAAAGCTATCTCTTGCGTTCTTTCTTATTGGCTAGTCATTTGCCTATAGGTAGGTACCTGGCGTAGGCAGGCTTCCTTGGAGCTGGTCTTTTTGCACATGGCTTGTATTTCTGGTATAGCACAACATATACTGTTTTGATCTGCAGCATCGAATCTATGACCTTCATTAGCTTCGGGTTTTATAGTGTATTATATACTTTACCTAGCAGCTTTTGTTATCCATGCTATCGTATCCAGCCATTAGATCAACCAGACGAAATGAATCAATTTTTTACTAAAATTGCAGAGGATACAATTCCGTCTCTTTCCACTTCTAATGTCGATTTCCTCTTTAATTATAGTCCTTTTATTTCGTCCCGTTATGGAAGAAGAGGTCTCTCAACTTTTTGATTTTTTCTAAAATTTTTATAATGCAAAAGCAAGCTATCAGGATTTTAGCAGGGGTTAGTTATCTAGAACACTGCCGACCTTTCTTTATCAAATTCAAAATTATGCGGCTACCTACTCTGTTGATGTTTCAAGTTCTAACTGAAATTCACCGAAAACGTGCCCATTCACTGTTCATGTAATTTGCATGTACCCAATTACTTAAGGGTTTAAATAAGTTTATTGATATTTCAATTTCCAATTCAGAAATAGTTTTAAAAAAATTTTTTTTCGGTATTTGGAGAACGATTTCCGAAGTGGAAATTGAAACGTCAATAAACTTATTTGAAACTTAATTCGTGAGTTACTCCCAATTGAAATAGAAATTGCTTAAATTTGTTTCTGATAACGTTTTTAAATTAATTTTTTTTTTGTCCCAAAAGACTCACCAGATAGAAATTTAAAAAATTAAAAATTTCTAACTTAACACAGATTGTGTTATTTCTTTGTACGATCTAGTTGACGTTTTGAATTATGTTTACCAAGAAACAAACTTAAGGAACTCTAATTAATTGCCCCACTTTCTCTATTAACTCTCGCTCTCGGTTTAAACCCTTAATCTATCACATTCCAAAGACGTCGTTATCTATTCAGGGTAGTGAAAAGATACCTCCAGCTCATCGACCTTATCTGATCCCGCTTGAAATACGGGAGCTAGAAACTAATTAGTCGGTCGTTTCTGACTTTAGAAACAATAGAAATTAATTCGTATCATCGACATGAAATATAACGCCATTGTTAGGAGCCTGTTTTAGTGATGACGTGTTGAAGGAAAATGTTGCACCGTTTTTTTTTTCGATTATAGATAAGAGACAATAAGCCATTAAGTCTACTGGTATCTATCGACTTAAATGAATAACACAATAGGTGGCTCTATTTGACTTTAAAATCGAAAAAGGTTATAATAGTGAAGAGAAGGTTCTTTTTAAAGGCGGTTAGAACACTAACTGACTTAACTGTGTCAACAGACCTGCTTGCTGTCAATTATATTTGACTGCAGTGGTTTATATAACTATAATGTCACTTTATACTGGTAATACATACATTTTTACAATAATTTAATAAAATAAATTTATTCTAAAAGTACTAACCTTATTCTTATTAATACTAATATACAGAGTGGCCCAAAAGCCTGGAAACGGCCAATTATCTCGTAAATTGCTAGTCATAATTGTACTAAATTTGAGGTACTCCAATTTTGAGATATGGAGATTCCATATTTGATATTTGCAAAGTTGCCAGATTTGCCGTTTCTCTTATATTATTAGTAACTTTGGTTTTTCGAATTCATCACCCTGTATATTCAGTTATTATTGGAATCTGCTATTTAATACGAGTTCAACCGTATGTAACACTTATGATTTTATGTAGCCTGGAAGGTCTTAAATACATAAAACAGTGCAAAATATGTAGAATATTAATTTTAAATATTTAAATGTAGAATGCTGTGATTTTGATATTTGTTCACCATTTACATTATTAACTAAAACTGACAGTAGTTGTGTTTCGAAAAGTGCTGCAAGATAAATTGCTTCTCTAAAATGGCTCTTAACAAAAAAGAACAAATTAATATTCTAATGATTAGAGTACGGTGACAGAAAAAGATCTTATCTCTTCCAAATTTTCACCATTAGTTTTTCATGTATGATCAGTTTGTTGTTATTTTTATCTGGCCCGGTTTTGTTTAGTTTTATTTGCTTTACGACATCTATGAATTCTAGATAAGTGGGTGCGTCTTCCTTTGCATCTTTTTTATCTGTTATTTCTTCAACTTCTGCATATGTCTTTTGGCTGTTTTTATGTAGTTTCGCAAAATGTTTTTCCAATCTTTTTCGTTCATTTTTATTTTTGTTTTACTGTTTTTTTTGTTTTTTTTTCGTAACATAATGTTGTTTTTATATAATATGATACAACTTTGACAAAATATTTGGCTCTTATTATTGTTTATTTTATATGACTGCCAGTTTATTCCGTTTAAATATACCTATTGTGTCTTTTGTAGAATAATGTATTTACAACAAAAATCAACCCTATCATAAACAACCAATAAATTTTCCAAGACACGAAAATTACCGCTTAAATGAAAACTATAATTTTACTTTCATTTTCAAAGATAAGTGCTTATGGATTATTAATATATCATCAAAAATTAAAATTTTTCCTGATAAATGGCTTAAAAAGAACTTTCAATACGCCTATTCTCCGCGTCAACACTTGTTTTAAGTGCTTTTTAAATGTTTTATTTTTAGGCAACAAGTCAGACCGGGTGTAAATCTGAGAAAATCCTGAAAACTCGTGCATTATATATACGATAGTTGTAACACTCGGCGAATAGCTGGGAGTTTTAAATGGTTATTTTGGGGTGACTTCAATAATTATTTCCTGAAGTATTCTTTAAGAAATATTTCATTTAAAGTAATATAACAGTTTTAAAATATGAGTAAAACAAAAACCAATAAACCAGACTAGGTAATTGGTTAAACTAATTTATAGCTAATGAACATACATATAAATATCTATTTTAAATCTTCTATCAAACAAATAGTTCATCGTTGTGACTAGATTACAAGAAATAACTTCTTCTTCTTCCTTCTAGTATGTAGGCTTTAAAGTTTGTTTCTTCTTCAATATTAGCCTCCTAAATTGTTTAAATTGTTGCACCATCTTTTTCTTGGTCTGCCAATACTTCTTCGTCCATTTGGTGACTTATCTCGTGCTATTCGTACTATTATATCCTCTGCCATTCTACTGATGTGTTCGTTCCACTCCTGTTTTCGTTTTGTAACCCATCCATTTATGTCTTCTATATGGCATGCTCTTCTGATGTTTTCGCATCTTTCCCTATCCAACAGACTTCTCTCTGATATTCGTGGGAGTATTTTTATCTCTGTTGTTTCTAGCAGTCGTCTCGTTTTAGATGTGTCATGTCTTGTCTCCGCCGTGTATGTTATTATAGGTCTAATTGCTGCTTTATAGATTCTAGTTTTTGTGTATTGTCTTAAGTATCTGCTCTTCCAGATTGTGTCATTAAGAAGACCCGCCGCTTTACTTGCTTTTAAGCTTTGTTGTCGTACTTCTTCTTCAACATCTCCGTTAGTAGTTATATCTATTCCCAGATATCTAAACCTTGCTTACTTACTTACTCCGTGGCGTTACAACCCTTCGTGGGTTTTAGCTGACTTGACAACATGCCTGCACTGTTTTCTGTCTTGAGCAACCTCCATCTCATTTTCCACGCACATAGAGCTTAGGTCTCCTGCTATATTATCTCGAGATCTATCAAGAGTATTCCAGAATTCTCGTCAACATCCACTAATTGGATAGGGCACCATAAGAAGAAGAAGTTGGCTATTTCGTAAATTGTTTAAATGTGTCATAATACATCTGTGCTTTATTATATATACTGTGATTTCAAATGAAGGAAAACTTTCTTTAAATTATCTTTTATAAAACGTTAATCTGATAATAATAAACATAACCAAAGAATTATCTAATTTAAAGTTATGCACGTGAATACATTTCAGCGATTCATTTTTATTTATGTAAATAATAATAGCTTTACAAATGTCTAACGTATAAAATTTGCTAACAACATTTTTCTTTGTTACAGGTCCCCGATCTAGACGGATGAAAAAGAGTCCAAAACCAAATGAAGATAAGAGGCCGAGAACAGCTTTCTCCAGCGCACAGCTCCAAAGATTAAAGCACGAGTTCAACGAAAACCGCTACCTAACAGAACGAAGAAGACAACAGCTTAGTGGCGAATTGGGTTTAAACGAGGCTCAGATAAAAATATGGTTCCAAAACAAAAGGGCGAAAATAAAGAAATCCTCGGGCCAAAAAAACGCTCTAGCGCTCCAACTCATGGCGCAGGGATTGTATAATCATTCGACTGTTCCTTGCGACGAAGATGATATGCCACTATCTTCATAATTTTGTTATTTTGTTGGGGGTTATATATTGGGAGTATGCACATAGGTAAATCGTCCTACATAAGTTTACAGATCGCCTTGACTTCTTTCTCTCTTGGTAACACCTGCAATAATTATCGGAACCTCGATATAAAGAGTCATCTTCATTCTCGAAAGATTTAGTACCAATTATGTTTCATTCTTTGAATCTGTGGCAACGATAAAATTTTCCGCAAATATCATCTAAGGTAATCCGTGCTTTTTTGCAATTGTTTTTCTTTTATTTTCAATTTTTTATTCTAATCCCTTTACAAAATTTAATAATTATTATAAAAATGTATACTCAATTAAGCTGTTTCTAGGTATAAAGATAAAACACTAAAGTTATTATGGATTACAAGCGCTTATCAATTTTTTATTTAAATTTGTGAAAAAATATATTATTTATGAAAATAATTCTCTAACATCTTCATTGTCAGTTAGTAGCGCTACCATAAATTATTTAAATAGTTTTTAAAATCCCTGTTTATGTTCGGACTAAAAAGTAATATTCTTTTAATAAGCTAATATTGGCATTACAGATATTTGCTTCTAAACCAAGCTTGCACATACTACAGCTCTTTAGACCATCATTGAATATTTTTTAGATAATAATGTAATTTAACAAAAAGGTTAGATTTAAAGCTAGCATAGTTTTTAAATTTTAATAAGGGCACACGAGGTCCTTTGGTTCTGGTATACTAAGCACTCGGTAATTAAATGTTTCACTGGTGATGGAGTGTGGTACTTGATACATATAAGAGCCATCTTCTTGTTAAAGATGTCCTTATGTTGGCACAACCGACTCCTATTCAGAGTCGGTTGATGATGATTTGGTCTTTCTATTACTTGGTAAGATGAGCGTGGTTATTTCCCGGGGCATTCTTTAAATTTGGTGATAGTGTGATCCCAAGTAGATCCAATCTGCCACGATTTGTAGATGTGGCCTTTGATTTTATTTTGTTATCAGTCCAAGGCGTTCAATTTATGACAGTGAAATTTTGGTCGGTTATTGCATTGCTAGTCATCCTCTTCCTCATTGGCATTTATTCCCATATAAGTAGCTACCCAGATGAAGAAAGTATCCTGGTGAATTGCCGTAAATTTTTCGGTATATATGCAATAATTTACTGCAATACGTACAATGGATTTGATGATTTCTCAGATGTAGGCTGCAGCATATCCTTCGTCATATTTGGAACCATCGGTAAAAATTTGATGAGTTGGTAGACATCTGGATATTGATGAAGTTTTTCCTCCCAACTAAGTATTCAAATCCTGACACTTTTTCAAAAGTAAACAGCCTCTGCTTCTTTCATTTTGATATATTTGTTATTATTTGTTTTCATTTCTATATATTGCGTTTTTGTTTGGTTTTGGAAGTATTTTATAGACTGCTTCTAATAGTGCTATACCTCTATAGTTTTCGCACTCCGGTTTTTATCCTTTTGATAGATAGGATAAATAAGAGCACTATTCCATTGTTTCGGCATTTTTTTCTTTTGCTAAATTATTAGTGTTAAGTAAAATATCTTTTCCTTTAATCTTTCGCCACCTTCCTTAAAAATCTCACCTGGGATACCACTTTCTCCTGCATTTTTGTTACTTTTTAGATTTCGTATTATTTCTTAGACTTCATTTAGAGTTGGTTCTTCGCACGTCCCTTATTTATCTTCTTGCAAATTCGCATTTCCCTCAAATTGCTCTAGTTGGTCTGCATTTAATAGATCTTCGAAATATTCCGCCCATTTGTTTCATTTTTTTTTGTTGTTTCACCTAGAAATAAGCCTTCTTCGTTTCTGCAATACTGGATGATGATTCTTTGTAGTTTCTCTGGATTTCTTAATTTCTTTCTTAACGTAGAAATTCTTTACCCCTTTGTTTATGTAGACTTCTTCTATGTTTTTTAATTACTTTTTTAGCTGTTCTTTTTTCTTTCTTTTTTAAATTCTTGTCACTTCCCTTCTTCTTGCCACGTAGTTTTCGATTGCATTTTGGGCATTTTCTTTATCTCTTTGTAGTTTTGCCTCGCTTCTTTTTGCCAAAACATTCCTACATTCCTAATCGAACCAATCTTGCTGTCTTTTTATATGCTCTCTTCCTATGCACTTTTCCGCTGCTTCCGACATGGCTCTCTGTATGGTCTGCCATTCTTCATCTATATCCTGATTGACTAGATTCTTTAGTTTTTTATTAATTTCTTCCTCTGGTCTGCTTACAATTTCTTTGTGATCAAACCTTGTTCTAGCTATCTTAATTTTATTCTCTGTAGCAAATTCTATTAACTTTTTCCCGTTTTCATTTGATTCCTTGTTTGAATGTTGCTAATATTAGGGTGACCTCTTTTGAGTGTAAGAAGATATTAATATCACAATAACTTATCCGACAGATTTATAGGAACTTGTGGTCTTAATTGAATATCGAATAACACACAAAAATATTTCAGTTTATTTTTGTGTGAGATTTCTAGAAACAAGCTGGAGAAATAAAAATTGAGAATATTTTTGATAGTTCTAGCAACAGTCTTTCTTTGTCTATTATTTTTGCTTTCTTGTTTCTTTTATCAATATTTACACTAGAATTGATCTTCTTAACTAAATATGTTGGTAAATTATGTAGGACGTCCACCTTCAATGGTTTAATAAGTGAACTAAGATCAAATGCAGCCGATTGAATTAATTCTTTTTGTAAAAAACAATTATTTTTTTGTAACATATTGCTTTATATAGTTGTTTGGTTGTTTTTGAGTTCTTTTTTCACTTGTTGACAAGTTTTATTTATTATTTTTCAAACGATCTCATTCAAGTATTTATTTTGTACAAATAATATTAAAATGTAAATATTGTACAGTGTTTGAAATATTGTAGTGTACCTATAGGAGTGTAAAAAGCTTTTTCTTAAAGATTTTGCGCTAATGGTATTATCGTATATATCTCTCAATTGCTTTATTAAAAGCCTTTGACATAGACTGAAATAGATATAGACTTAGTGATAGCTATATGTTTTGATTCAATTGATTTTCACAGAGATTTTATTATAGTTAAGTATTTTAACAATTTAAATATATTACAAAGGTTGCTTTTCAGTTTAAAAATATGACTATCGAAATCTCTGAGAAAACCCAAAGTAATCTAATGCACGTATGACTACAAAATTGAAGAAAGAGGCAATCAGTTTTTTGAATAATAAATATATTATCAAGCATGAACTAAATACTATAAAAATATTATTAAAACTTATTTAAATTGTCGCATTGCCTTTTTCTCATAGCCTATGTGCATTTGCAGAATCTGGACGTGTGGAGTATATATGTGCAATGTTACGTAGGAATATGTATCATATTATCTATTATGAAATAAGTTGATAAATATATGCATTGTTCAACAGTTATTTATTGTTTTTATTTACCACCGTCATAAATATAAAGATTCACGAATTAAACAAGGAATCATTATGGGACGAGAGTCTCAATTACCTGTCGATGTTTAAATATCTACATCCTTCAAAGATTAGGCTCTGAATAAGTACCCATATGAGTAAGAAAAATTGGTATCAATAGCGGAAAAAACCGAGGAATTAAAACGAAAGAGAGACTTAATAAAGTTCAACTTTTAGGGTCTGGAATCTTCAAAAGATATCTCAATCCAAGACGCCGCCTGACTGATCTTGCAGGATCTTGACTTAGTCCTGCGACTGAGTGCAGGATTCGTTCTTCGTACTCCCGGCGATAGTTCCCGAGGTACTTTTAAATGCCCTCTCGTCGCCGGGTCTACGCCGAACGCCTACCTGCTAAACCAGACCCTCCTCTGTCATCCAGCGATCCGGAAGCAGAATGGCCGCTGTCCGGCCGGCATCACTTCCGAAACACTACCTTTATTCATTCATTCTCCATTCATACACATTCACACACTATTCATTAGCAAGGAGGCTACCTGTCTCTTTTCCAGTTAGCGCGTAGAAGACCCTCATCACTCCTAGTTCGGCATCATTCCCAGACGGCCATTTCCTCCTTCTCCACAGTCTGACTAGCGCATACTAACTTATACAGTCTCACCCACTTTTCTAGCTTCAACATTCAGCATCTTTCACTCTTACTTTTGCCGTTGGTCCAGCTGTCTTTCTTCCTCTTTTTTTCTTGATCACTGCACGAATATATATGCTAGTCTAACCTAATTTATTTTCAATCATTCTTTCAATCATTTCTCTCACTGTAACAAAATTCACACCTATCTCTCTTTCCATTCTGTTTCTTTATTATATCCATCTGTTGCAATCTAACATAATATGTGTCACAGTGTCCGACTGTCCACAGTATAGGCATTAATCTGGGTCAGCCTTTCCGAACCTAGAGAAGTAGGCCCTAAAACACCCGTATCCTGTTACCATCTGCGTCAGAAAATAATCCAGTCGCCTGTGGCCACAGTCCACTTAATCTCTTATGTTCGAGATTAGCATTTTCGTCCACTGCGCCACATTCTCCGTGTTGTTCTATTCCTCTTGCCATATTTAAATTGACCTTTCCGTTCCCTGCCTTCTCTCGCTGCCAGAGTAAAGTTTAGGCATCTTCTCTCATAGAGCTCTTTTCTGTCCATCGCCAAAACATTCAACGGAACACATCCAGTGATGGTCTACGACAAGAGTCACCAATTATATTCCCTGAGGGCCCGTTTCGAAAACTTACAACACTTCCCTGGTCCGGGCACTCAGCCTGGTTTAGGGCGGGGGAGGGGGGTTACGCAGAAACCCTCCAGTAGTTGTAACCCCCACCCATCAGGAGATTGAAACAAGGTAAAACTCCTTACAAAATTGAACTATTAGGAAAATGACACTTTTTATTGTGTACAACCTGTCTAAAATTTAAAGTGGGGTTAATGCAGCTGATTTTCATTAGGGAGCCGAGATGTTCAACTGTCAAACGAGATCTGTACCGATTTTTAATAAATTTCATTTTTGAAAAAGCAGCTTCGAACACTTAAGTTGAGCCAAACAGTACACAGTTTCATTGCCAAAGATTTTAGTTCTAGATATTTGTTTTCACACACATATTTATTCCAAAAATCACAAAGCGCCGGGTACGGACGAGGTACCAGCAGAACTTCTGAAATATGGGGGAGACGCACTACATCACCAAATCCACCAGCTAATAACGCACATACAGTGCTTTTCAGATAAAGCTATCCACCTTAAATAACTTTTGAACCTCTAATTTTTTAAAACACAAAAACACGTCAATTAATATCTGAAGGGGGAGACATAATATCATATGAAAGGTTGCTGGAAAAGCACCATTTCACCCCCTGTATCAACCCTTTATTTTTTTTAAATTACTTCCCCCTTTTTTGTTTTATATTTGGATTCTCCTTTTTGTTCTGATTTCAAAAATGTATAATACCTTTGACTTGAAGTGATTAGTTTATCAAATAGACAATTTTCCTGTTAACAAGACAGTATCTCCCTCACCTTAATTGACTCTAACAAAATAGGTTGTAGCATAATTTAAACTCTTTAAATATTTAACCATACTATTTGTAGTACCTTTAAAAACCAAGAAACAAAAAAATTCACTTTTTATTCAAGTTTTTTCAAGTGTGTGATTGAACTGATGCAGAAAAAATTAGATCAAGAGGGTCAGTTTGCAATAAAAAACAGAACCGACAGGAACTTGTAAATAAAAAAGCAATCCAAGTAGCTGTTTTAGGGCAAGTTAACTTAGACTCTTAACAATCACAGTCACTGTCAACAATAAGCAGAGCAATCGGTGTTTCATCTTCTACAGCCTTCCGAGTCCTCCATAAATTTAAGTTTCATCCATATAAAATTAAATTATTACAAGAGTTAAATAAAGAAGATTTTGATCGTCGTCCCGAATATTGCGAATTAATGATAAAATGCATCATTAACAATCCACAATTATTGTTAAACAATATTTGCTTCTCGGATGAATGCTCATTCTCATTAAACGGTTTGGTGAACAGATATAATTGCCGATACTGGGCTGAGAGTGATCCACATATTGTACGCGAATTTCACACATAGCATCCTCAAAGGTTAAACGTATGGTGTGGTATCCTACGTAATCACATTATCGGACCCTTCTTTATCACTGGAAACTTAAATGGTGCATCGTATCTTGAATTATATAGGCAAGTGGTTGATCGTTAGAACAATAGTAGCAAATGATGATAACCTGATGGAGCTTCTCCACACTTTGCTTTACCAATGCGATAATTTTTAAACGAAACGTTTCCCGGTCCTTGGATAGGTAAAAGACGACCGATGATCGATTGGTCACCTAGGTGACCGGATTGAACACCCCTAGACTTCTTCTTATGGGAGTATTTAAAAACAAAAATTATGCTACTCAACCAGAATATTTAGATGATTTACAACAAAGAATAGAGGATGAATGTCGACAATTAAATGCAGACGTGTTAAGCAATGTCAGAGAAGAATTTCAAAATAGATTGTACTATTGTATGGAAGTGAAAGGCAGTCATTTTGAACAATTATTGTAAAAATGTTTAGTAGTGAAATGTTTGTTTTAAATGTGTGTAATAAAATTGTTAAAAAATAATTTTTTTTCAATCCAATTTTCTTGCTTTTGTATTTACTTTTCTCATAAACTAATCACTTCAAGTATCATGTATTATACATTTCTAAAATCATTACAAAAGGGAGAATCCAAATATAAAACAAAAAAGGGAAAAGTAATTAAAAAAAAATAAACGGTTGATACAGGGGGTGAGAGGGTGCATTTTCCAGCAACCTTAAATATGATATTATGCCTCCCCTTTAAGATATTAATTAAAGTGTTTTTGCGTTTTTCCAAAAAATTAGAGGTTCAAAAGTTATTTAAGGTGGATAGTTTTATCTGAAAAGCACTGTATACTTAAAAGAAAGGGTACCAGCATGATGGAACGAAAACATAATAGTGCCCATCCACAAAAAAGGGGACAAAACAAAATGCGCGAATTATAGAGGAATTTCGATCCTGAGAATGTCCTAGGCGAATATCAAGGCGATTTTAGGACAAACAGATCAACAATAGTTCAACTATTCACGCTGAGACAACTTCAAAAAAAAGGGATGGGAGTATAACAGACCCATACACAATCTTTTCATAGACTTTCGACAGGCATATGATAGCGTAGAAAGAAGCCAAGTATGGAATGCCATGGTGGATTTCTCAATACCAAAGAAATTCATTCGGATGACCAAAGTCTGTATGGAGGTTGGAATATCTAAAGTACGTGTAAATAATAAACTGTCTGGCAGCTTTGAAATCAACAGTGGACTAAAACAGGGTGATGCGTTATCTCTACTACTTTTTAACCTTGTATTAGAGAAAGCCATGAGGTCGGCCGAAATAAAAACAGAATTGCTATCGGTTCAAGGTTCCAAGCTGTTACTCACATATGCAGATGACATAGATCTCGTTGGAGACTCCGTCCTATCCACGAAAGACATCTTCAACAAGGTGGAAGGAGCAACATTATTGTATATTTCGCGTGGTTTTAGGTAGCTATAGAATTTAGTTGAATTCCCTAATATAAATCAATGTATTGCATTTTGCACTTAATACATCCAGATTTGGATTATTTTTTTAATTTTATATTTTTTTTAGCGGTTTGCAAACATTTTGTGGTCTGTATGTGCCGCAGGGTGCAGTTAGGCCAGTGATCAGTTTGCAAATCTCTCCGGGTCTACCTTAAAATCCATGGTTTTATCACGATGAGTAGTTTGTACTATCTACGAGTGCATTTAGGCTTATTATTGATGATGAGTTTACGTGTACCCCATTTTATCGGTGCTTGGAAACCCGGTTTGTGGTAACCGCAAAGCTACTCGATCTACCCAACAATTATCCTAGGCACTGAGGCAGGAATATATACTTGTAAATAAAAAAATTCTCTTCGTTTGAGTACATAAAAGTATAAATAGTTATAAATTCGCACTGACTATAGGCAAAACAGCACAGGAAAGAAACATTTGCTAAAATTATATTCCATCTTGAATAATGATGCTATTTACTTGAGTACTGGTTATAATGGTATAGCCACTTAAAAAAAAAAGATGCTAAGAACTATAAATCGTGCAAAAGATATATTTAAAACGGCCTTACCTCTGCCAACTTTAGTACAATGGCTATTTATTATTTCTTTCTTGGAAGATTAACTTGTTTCACAATACCTACACATATATATCTCTAAAATATTTCGTTCAGCGAACCAGTCATCAACAATAACTTAATGGCCCGGCACTGATTCATTAAATAATCCAAATGGATGTCATTATTTATAGCAGGAATGATATCAATCAAATATATTAAAGCATTATAAAACAGTTAAAACAACTTACACTATCTATTATAAAAATATTAGCTATATTA